TCTGTGCTGACAGCTCGGAACCTGGAGCCTGCTTTGGATTCTGTGTCTCCCTCTCTCTCTGCCCCTCCCCCGCTCATGCTCTGTCTTTCAAAATAAATAAACGTTAAAAAAATTTTTTTAAATCTGAATATAAGAATCTATTCATTATATGTGCTATATGACATGATAGCATTGTATCAATGTGAAAATTCTAAATCACATTATTGCTCTGTGTTTATGTAACAAGACATCCGTGTTCTTAGAGGATACATATCGGAGTACTTAAGACGAAAGGGGTCTGGGTGATTAGGTCATGTCAACGTAGGGTCATCAGTTCTAACAAATGCTCCAGTCTTGGAGGCAGGGGTGGGGGAGGGGAATGTTGCTAGTGGGGGAGGCTGTGCATGGGAGGGCAGGGGGTGTCTGGGAAATCTCTGGGCTTTCTGCTTAATTCTGCTTTAAAATATAAAGTCTATTAAAAAAAAAAAGGAGTAAAGGGGACTAATGTCTTCAATATGACCTCAAATGGCAATACCGTACTAATTATACGATGGGATGCCCATGCAGAGAATAAAGAACCAATGTGGTAGAATACTCCGGGGGAAGGGCCTGGGGATTCCTTTGTACTCATCTCGCACATTTTCTCCGAGTTATTGCAAATGCAAAGTGTTCCGAGTTATTGCAAAATGCAATGTTTTAAAAACAATCATAAAGCAGGGACTTTGGAATCAGGTCATTCGGAGGTAGAACCTATCCAGACAAACTACGAGCTGTGTGAACCTTCCCACTGAGCCTTCGTGTTCTCATCTAGAGAAGGAGCCTTCTGACCCCTGGGCAGCCTACCTCTAAATGTGGTAGGAACAGTCATAAGGACGAGGAAAGACCCTTATTGGGCAGGTGTAGTAGTTAAGATTCTCCAGAGAAACAGAACCCACAGGATAGATAGATCGAAGTAGGGAATTGGCTCATGCTATTTGTGGAGGCTGGCAGGTCCAAAGTCTGTAGGGTAAGCTGAGAGGCTGGAGACCCAGAAAAAAAAGCTGAGATTGGAGCTTGAGTCTGAAGGCCATCTGCTGGTGGTATTCTTTCTTCCTAAGGAAAGGTCGGCCTTTTTTCCTATTAAGACCTTCAACTGATTGGATGAGGCCCACCCGTGCTAGGAAGAATATTCTGCTTTATTGAAAGTCTACTAATTGAAATGTTAATCTCATCTAAAAAAAAAAAAAA